AGTATCCATCAGCCCTAAAAACACACACACACACAAAAACCCCAATGGAACAGACTTAAAGCCCCAAAAAATACACCATATATACATACACTCATATAGATATACACATGCACACACATACACACAAATATCCACTTATACATGCACACATATATACCTATACACATGCATACATACATACATACACACACATACTCACAAATATCCACTTATACATACACATATATATGCATATACACAAGCACACACATATACATATATAGACATGCACACGTATATACACAAAAAACACACCATATATACATATACACATGCATGCATACATACATCTTCATAGATGAGAGACGTGATGGGCCATGCATACATACATCTTCATAGACATACACACAAATATCCACTTATACATACACACATATATGCATATACACATGCACACACATATACACAATATGCATATACATATCTAAACACACAAGTACACAAATATATGCACACAGGTATATACACATATATACACGCACACACATCTATAGACACACACACACACACACATATATATATATGCAAACACACACATATATATATACATATACACAAATATATACGCACACACAAAACACATATACACAGACTGGGCCACAGCAACGCATGGCAGGGGACGGCTAGTAAATAAAATAAAATTGTGTTTCTTTATCAGCTTCCCTGTGTGGGCAGTGGTTCCCTTGATGTATGGTAAGAACACTTTTCAAAGCATGTGGACAATTTCAATAGAAAGGAGGAAACCTAACACAATCTGGCTCCCAGTATTTTTTTTTTAAAAAAAAACATCTAAAATCAGGACAGTAAAGAAAGAGCAACACTCAGAAAACAAGGGAATTCCAGACAAGAATCAATCAGGGCCAGCTAACACCTTCCAACAAAAGATTCCCCCAGAAGGGAAGCAGCCAGGCTTTGAAGCTGCAAGGCCGTTCAATGCTAATCAAGATGGCCAACTGGAACATTCACACCTGCCTCAAACAGACGAGATCTTTCTCTCACCCTGGACAAGCATTGATTTGGAATGGGCAAAATGTGAAGACTTTTCAAAGGGGAAATGTTTAGGTTTTAATTCTTACCTTCACGTGATTCCCCTTTGTGATCCAGGCATTGCCAAAGGCTTGAAATGGATGTAGTATTGGCGCATAACCCACCAGATGAGCATCGGGTTCAGACGTTCATCCACTTTACATCTGGGGGGGGGAAAAAACCATTTCAACAGACATGAAGGTGAATCTCAAATTATATGCACAAGAGGCATAATAATAAATAACGCAATAATTATATTACAACATTATTATATGTTATTATTGTTTAATAATTATAACATAATAATTATACTATTAAGATAATAAATAACAATAATTATAGTACAATGTTATTATTATATGTTATGTATAATAATTATTATATAATTATACTATTAATATAATAAATAATGCAATAATTATATTACAATATTATTATATGTTATTGTATAATAATTATAAAATAATAATTATACTACTAATATAAATAATGTAATAATTATATTACATTATTATTATGTTATTATTGTATAATAATATAATAATTATACTATTAATATCATAAATAGCACAATAATTATTACAACATTATTATTGTATATTACTGTATAATAATTATAATATAGTTATACTATTAATATTATAAATAACACAATAATTATATTACAACGTTATTATGTTATTATTGTATAATCATTATAATAATTATACTATTAATATAATAAATAATGCAATAATTATATTACAACGTTATTATTGTACATTATTATTGTATAATAATATAATAATTATACTATTAATATCATAAATAACGCAATAATTATATTACGTTATTATTATATGTTATTGTATAATAATTATAATGTAATAATTATACTATTAATATCATAAATAACACAATAATTATATTACAATGTTATTATATGTTATTATTGTATAATAATTATAATATAATAATTATACTATTAATATCACAAATAACGCAATAATTATATTACATTCTTATTATTATTGTATACTAATTATAATATAATAATTATACGATTAATATCATAAAAATCACAATAATTATATTACACTATTATTATATATTACTGTATAATAATTATATTGCAACCTTATTATTGTATATTATTACTGTATAATTAGTATAGTATAATAATTATACTATTACTATAATAAGTAACGCAATAATTATATTAGCTTATTATTATTGTATAATAATTATAATAATTTTACTATTAATATAATAAATAACAATAATTATATTTCATTATTGTTATTACTGTATGATTATAATATAATTATACTATTAATATAATAAATAACACAATAATTATATTACAACATTACTATGTTATTATTGTATAATAATTAAAATAGAATAATACTATTAATATAATAAATAACACAATAATTATATTACAACTATTATTTTTATTATTGTATAATAATTATAATAATTATACTATTAATACAATAAATAATGCAATAATTATATTAGTAAAGGTACAGGTAATCCCCTGACATTAAGTCCAGTCATGTCTGACTCTGGGGTGTGGTGCTCATCTCCATTTCTAAGCCGAAGAGCCAGCGTTGTCCGTAGACACCTCCAAGGTCATGTGGCCGGCATGACTGCATGGAGAGCCGTTACCTTCCCGCCGGAGCGGTACCTATTGATCTACTCACATTTGCATGTTTTCGAACTGCTAGGTTGGCAGAAGCTAGGGCTGACAGCGGAAGCTCACGCTGCTCCCCGGAATCGAACCTGTGACCTTTCGATCAACAAGCTCAGCAGCTCAGTGCTTTAACCCACTGTGCCAATGGGGCAGTATTGTAATTATATTACAATATAATTATAATTATACTATTAATATAATAAATAACGCAATAATTGTATTACAACATTATTATTATATTATTATTGTATAATAATTATAATATAATAATTATACTATTAATATAATAAATAACAATAATTATATTACAACATTATATATGTTATTATTGCATGATATAATAATTATACCATTAATATCATAAAGAGTGCAATAATTATATTACAGCACTATTATCATATATTACTGTATAATAATGATAATATTAATAGAAATACAGAAATGATTATATTACAAACTATTGTTATATAATATTATTCTATAATAATTCTACTTACTTACTTACTTACTTACTTAGGCGATCCCTCGTTGGACGAGTAAGATGGTCTTCCATTATGGATTTCCTTGTGGGTCCGTATGTGGCTGTGGAGCCCTATTCTTGCTCTGCATCTTCTTCCGCAGTGAGGGCATTGGTTTCCAGGTGGAAGGCGGTCCCGGTTGGGGTTGGCTTGACGCGCCTTCCTCCTGGCACGTTTCTCTCTTTCACCCTCCACTCGTGCCTCCTCAAATTCTGCAGCACTGCTGGTCACAGCTGTCCTCCAGCTGGAGCGCTCAAGGGCCAGGGCTTCCCAGTTCTCAGTGTCTATGCCAGAGTTTTTAAGGTTGGCTTTGAGCCCATCTTTAAATCTCTTTTCCTGTCCACCAACATTCCGTTTTCCATTCTTGTGTTCAGAGTAGAGCAACTGCTTTGGGAGACGGTGGTCGGGCATCTGGACAACGTGGCTCCAGCGGAGTTGATGTTGGAGGACCATCGCTTCAATGCTGGTGGTCTTTGCTTCTTCCAGCACACTGACGTTTGTCCGCTTGTCTTCCCAAGATTTGCAGGATTTTCCGGAGGCAGCGCTGATGGAAACGTTCCAGGAGCTGCATGTGACGTCTGTAGACAGTCCACGTCTCACAGGCATAGAGCAGGGTTGGGAGGACAATAGCTTTATAGACGAGCACCTTGGTCTCCCTACGGATGTCCCGGTCCTCAAACACTCTCTGCTTCATTCTGGAAAATGCTGCGCTTGCAGAGCTCAGGCGGTGTATTTCGGCGTCGATGTTGACTTTGGTGGAGAGGTGGCTGCCAAGGTAGCGGAAATGATCAACATTTTCTAACGTTACACCATTAAGCTGTATCACTGGCATTGGAGAGGGGTTGGCTGGTGCCTGCTGGAAAAGCACCTTGGTTTTTTCAATGTTCAATGACAGGCCGAGGTTCTCGTCTTCCAAAGAATAATTCTACTATTACTCTAATAAATAAAGCAATAATTATATTACAATATTATTATTGTTTTATATTATTATTGTATAATAATTATAATATCCTAGTTATACTATTAATATCATAAATATATCATAAATATATCATATATATATCATATATATATCATAAATATATCATAAATAAATTATATTACAATATTATTATTGTTTTATATTATTATTGTATAATAATTATTATATCCTAGTTATACTATTAATATCATAAATATATCATAAATATATCATATATATATCATATATATATCATAAATATATCATAAATAAATTATATTACAATATTATTATTGTTTTATATTATTATTGTATAATAATTATTATATCCTAGTTATACTATTAATATCATAAATATATCATAAATATATCATATATATATCATAAATATATCATAAATAAATTATATTACAATATTATTATTGTTTTATATTATTATTGTATAATAATTATTATATCCTAGTTATACTATTAATATCATAAATATAGCAATAATTATATTATTAATATACCTTATTAATATCTCTTAATATACCTTATTAATATCTTACCTTATTAATATCTCAAAACCAGAATGAGAGGGCTGACCTGCCTCATTTGCCTTGCCTGCCTCTTCCTGCTTCCCCTTTGGCCCCGCCCACCGCCGTCCCCCATTGGTCCGCCCCGTTGCCTTGGCGACGAGAGGGTAGGGTACCCAAAGAGCCCCGCCCCCCCCCTCTTTTTTTCCAAACTCCGGCTTTCTTGGCTGCCTTCAGCGGGCACTTCCGTTGACGTCAGGAGGGAAAAACCGGAAATGGGAGCAGAGGCTGCCGGGAAGTGTAGTTCGGGGTTGCTGTGAGGGGGAGAGAAAAGGAATCAGCGGGCCGGCGAGACAGAGAGAGAGAGAGAGAGAGAGGGAAGGAAGGCAGGAAGGCGGAGGCCGCGCACAGGCAGGGAGGCAGCCTCACCTCGCCGACCAGGAGCCCGAGGGAGAGGCCTCATGGTAGGAAGAAGGAGGAAGAAGAAGAAGAAGAGGGAGGCTCAGCATCCTCCTCGGGAGGGAGGGAGGGAGGGATAGAGAAGGCCTGTGGGGACATCCTGGGCCTCCTTTGTGTGGTGGGCGGGGAAGCAGGGGAAGGGGGGAGTGGGGGAGGGGGTTCCCATTCTCAATACTGGTACTGGCATTAGAGGGGTCTGGTTTGAATGGGAAGGCAGCCTGGAAGGATGGGGAGGGGGGGGGAGAGGCCTCCTTGGGGTATTCAGGGTCTTCTTTGTGTGATGGAGGGAGGAAGCAGCTGAGGGGGATTGTTATTATTATTAATAGAGATAATATTAATATCAATAATAAAGGGGAGGGAAAAGGGGTTGGGGAGTGGGAGAAGAGGCCTGTTTGGGGTATCTATGTGTGATGTAGAGAGGAAGCAGGTGAGGAGATATTGTTACTAATATCATTGATAATATTGTTACTAATAAAAGGGTGGAAAGGGGTTGGGGGTCTTGTATGGAAGGATGAGGAGTGGGAAACAGGACTTTTTGGGGTATTCATGGGGGGCTTTGTATGATGTAGAGAGGAAGCAGGTGAGGAGATAATAATAATAATAAATATTATAGTGATAGTAATAATACTATTAGTATTGATAATAAAGTAGGGTCTCATAAATGAGAGGAGGCTTGAAAGAATGAGGAATGGGAGAAGAGGCCTGTTTGGGGTATCTATGTGGGGGGGGGGTCTTTGTATGAGGAAGCAGGTGAGGAGATATTGTTACTAATATCATTGATAATATTGTTACTAATAAAAGGGTGGAAAGGGGTTGGGGGTCTTGTATGGAAGGATGAGGAGTGGGAAACAGGACTTTTTGGGGTATTCATGGGGGGCTTTGTATTTATTTATTATTTTATTTATTTATTTATTTATACACTTGTATATCGCTAATATCTCAGCCTAAGTCGGCGACTCATTGCGGTTTACAGCAATTAAAAACAATATACAATTTAAAACAACAACACATAGACAATACAGATTATTGGGCCACCAATAATAATACCATGCATCTCGTCAATAAAATCACCAATCCAGAGTTCGTCATCCATAATTAACCAGTCCTTAGTCAGCAAAGTTCGGTAATAACAGACTAACCGAATGCTTGTTTAAACAACCAAGTTTTTAGTGTCTTCCGAAAAGCCATCAGCGAAGAGGCAGATCGTATCTCTATAGGGAGGGTGTTCCAAAGCCGAGGGGCCACCACAGAAAAGGCCCCGAAAAGGCTACATTGTATGATGTAGAGAGGAAGCAGGTGAGGAGATAATAATAATAATAATAAATATTATAGTGATAGTAATAATACTATTAGTATTGATAATAAAGTAGGGTCTCATAAATGAGAGGAGGCTTGAAAGAATGAGGAATGGGAGAAGAGGCCTGTTTGGGGTATCTATGTGGGGGGGGGTCTTTGTATGAGGAAGCAGGTGAGGAGATATTGTTACTAATATCATTGATAATATTGTTACTAATAAAAGGGTGGAAAGGGGTTGGGGGTCTTGTATGGAAGGATGAGGAGTGGGAAACAGGACTTTTTGGGGTATTCATGGGGGGCTTTGTATGATGTAGAGAGGAAGCAGGTGAGGAGATAATAATAATAATAATAATAATAATAATAATAATAATAAATATTATAGTGATAGTAATAATACTATTAGTATTGATAATAAAGTAGGGTCTCATAAATGAGAGGAGGCTTGAAAGAATGAGGAATGGGAGAAGAGGCCTGTTTGGGGTATCTATGTGGGGGGGGGTCTTTGTATGAGGAAGCAGGTGAGGAGATATTGTTACTAATATCATTGATAATATTGTTACTAATAAAAGGGTGGAAAGGGGTTGGGGGTCTTGTATGGAAGGATGAGGAGTGGGAAACAGGACTTTTTGGGGTATTCATGGGGGGCTTTGTATGATGTAGAGAGGAAGCAGGTGAGGAGATAATAATAATAATAATAATAATAATAATAATAATAATAAATATTATAGTGATAGTAATAATACTATTAGTATTGATAATAAAGTAGGGTCTCATAAATGAGAGGAGGCTTGAAAGAATGGTTCCGGTTCCCGCCCCACTTACCTCTCCGAACGCATCTCCACCTATGAACCGGCGAGGACCTTAAGATCGTCCGGGGAGGCCCTGCTCTCGGTCCCGCCGGCGTCGCAAGCGCGGTTGGCGGGGACGAGAGACAGGGCCTTCTCAGTGGTGGCCCCTCGGCTATGGAATGCCCTACCAGTGGACATCAGGCAGGCCCCTTCGTTACTGGTGTTTCGGAGGAGGGTGAAGACGTGGCTCTATGAACAGGCATTTGGATAACTATGCAATGACAACTAACTCAGTAAGACGGCATTTGAACAAGGAACGGAAAAGGACTGTGAGAACGGGATCTGATTCTAATTGAGGCGTTGATGACTATGTGTGTTGTTTGTGTATGTGCGTCTTATATATTGTTTAGTGTTGCCCATTTTTATTGTAAACCGCATTGAGTCGCCGTCTCAGGCTGATAAATGCGGTATACAAATGGAGTAAATAAATAAATAAATAATAAATAAATAAACAGAATTCCTGTGTTTATTATTTATTTATTTATTTATTTCATTTACTTATACCCCGCCCTTCTCACCCCGGGGGGGACTCAGGGCGGCTTACAGAGGAGGCATAATTAGATGCCTAACAATTGACAGTAATACAAATATAAAAACAGTTCAACAATTAGAATTAAAACATCAACACATAATAAAATATTAAAACAATCTCATGCTCGGATTCAGAGTCCATATATCCATTCCATTCCATTGTCCACATAGATACCCCTGTTTGGGGTATCTATGTGGGGGGGGGGGGTCTTTGTATGAGGAAGCAGGTGAGGAGATATTGTTATTAATATTCATAATATCATTGATAATATTGTTAATAATAAAAGGGTAGAAAAGGGATGGGGGTCTTTGTGTGATGTAGAGAGAAAGCAGGTGAGGAGATAATAATAGTAGTGATAATACTATTAGTATTAATAATAAAGGGGGTCTCATATGAATGAGAGGAGGCTTGTAAAGGATGGGGAGTGGGAGAAGAGACCTGTTTGGGGGTATTCATGGGGGTCTTTGTGTGGTGTAGAGAGGAAGCAGGTGAGGAGATATCAATAATAATAGTAATGGTGATAATACTATTAGTATTAATAATAAAGGGGATCTCGTATGAATGAGGAGAGGCCTGTTTGGAGTATAAATGGGGGTCTTTGTGGTTAGGTAGGAAGTAGGTTAGAAGATATCAATAATAATAATAATAATATAGTGATGGTGATTATATTATTAGTAGTAATAATAAAGGGGGTCTTGTATGAATGGGAAGGCAGCCTGAAAGGATGGGGAGAGGAGGAAGAGGTCTGCTTGGGGTATTCGGGGTCTCCTTTGTGTGGTGTAGGGAGGAAGCAGCTGAGGGGGATTGTTATTATTATTAATAGAGATAATATTAATATCAATAATAAAGGGGTTGGGGGTCTTGTATGGAAGGATGAAGAGTGGGAGAAGAGGCCTGTTTGGGGCATCTATGGGGGTCTTTGTGTGATGTAAAGGATGGGGAGTGGGAGAAGACATCTGTTAAGGGGTATTCATGGGGGTCTTTGTGTGATGTAGAGAGGAAGCAGGTGAGGAGATACCAATAATATTAGTGATAATACTATTAGTATTATTAGTATTAATAATAATGAGGGTCTTGTATGAATGAGGGGAGGCTTGAAAGGATGGGGAGTGGGAAAAGAGGCCTGTTTGGGGTATCTATGGGAGGGTCTTTGTGTGATTTAGAGAGGAAGCAGGTGAGATATTATTAATAATATCATTGATAATATAGTTAATAATAAAAGGGTAGAAGAGGCCTGTTTGGGGTATCTATAGGGGGGTCTTTGTGTGATATAGAGAGGAAGCAGGTGAGGGGATATTGTTATTAATATCAATAATATTGATAAATGGTAGTTAAAGGAATGGAGGTCTTGTACAAAAGGATGAAGAATGGGAAACAGGCCTGTTTGGGGTATTCATGGGGGTCTTTGTGTGATGTAGAGAGAAAGCAGGTGAGGAGATAATAATAGTAGTGATAATACTATTAGTATTAATAATAAAGGGGGTCTCGTATGAATGGGGAGGCTTGAAAAGGATGGGGAGTGGGACAAGAGGCCTGTTTGGGGTATTCATGGGGGTCTTTGTGGTTAGGTAGGAAGCTGATGTGGAGATATCAATAATAATAGTAATGGTGATAATACTATTAGTATTAATAATAAAGGGGGTCTCGTATGAATGAGGGGAGGCTTGTAAAGGATGGGGAGTGGGAAAAGAGACCTGTTTGGGAGTATCTATGGGGGTCTTTGTGTGATGTAGACAGGAGACAGGTGAGGAGATATCAATAATACTAATAGTGATATTATTAATACTTTATTATTAATACTAATGGTAATAATACCATTAGTAATAATAAAGTGGGGTCTCATATGAATGAGGGGAAGCTTGTAAACGATGGGGAGTGGGAGAAGAGGCCTGTTTGAGGAATTCATGGGGGTCTTTGTGGTATAAAGAAGCAGGTGAGGAGGTATCAATGAAATAGTGATAGTAATATTACTATTAGTATGAATAATAAAAAGTGGGGTCTCGTATGAATCAGGGGAGGCTTGTAAAGGATGGGGAGTGGGAAAAGAGGACTGTTTGAGGAATTCATGGGGGTCTTTGTGGTTAGGTAGGAAGCAGGTGAGGAAATATCAATAATAATAATAGTGATGGTGATAAAACTATTAGTATTAATAATAAAGGGGGTCTTGTATGAATGGGAAGGCAGCCTGAAAGGATGGGGAGAGGAGGAAGAGGTCTGCTTGGGGTATTCGGGGTCTCCTTTGTGTGGTGTAGGGAGGAAGCAGCTGAGGGGGATTGTTATTATTATTAATAGAGATAATATTAATATCAATAATAAAGGGGAGGGAAAA